ACCAGCCATCCCTACATACATCCCTACATAGGATCCAAACCCATGGCCTTGGCGCTATCAGCACCACACTCTCCCGAGTGAGCCACGGGCCGGCCCCCCACTGACTTAATTTAGATCATACTGCTGGGAAGGCTCAAAGCCAGGATTTGAACCTGTGCCTTTTGTCTGCCCTCCACCCCAGGCCCCCTTTTCCTCAGTCCACTCCCCGAGTCCCCAGCTGTGGGCCGAGTGCCCAGGTCCTTTATCTCTTGAATGCGCCACAAGTCAGAGACAGCAAACTCCACTTTTCTGGGCTGAACTCAACAAGGGAACCAGAAATTCCTGCTTCCAGTCCAAACAGCATGCCCAGAAAATGTTCCAAGAATAGCTTGTGACTGGGCAGCTGCTGGCCAGAGAGGAGGGGTTGGCACTGCCTGGGAGGGTCACCAGGGAACATTGGAGTGACTTCAGCCCCGTCCCCAGTGGCTACTGGGCAGCAGCGCCCCCTGGTGTGGTCCCCGTCTCTCAGTCTCAATCGCACAGATGCACCCACAGCTGTTTTCTGCGGGGCAGGGGCCGGGGCTGATGGGGAGACAGGAGGGCAGGCAGTGGGTGGGACGGAGAGCTGGCGGGGGGGATAGATCAGAACTGGCCCTACAGACCGGAAAGGTTGGCTTTGGAGTGGGCGACCACCTGGTGTCAAATGGTAGCAACAACAGAGCATTCTGTCCCTGTCCTCCTACCCACCACCCCTCTTTGCGTTGGCCCAGAAATAGCTTCTTCACAGCCGCCCATTGTACTGCCTGTAACGCCATTGTTAGAACCTCATTTAGTTGGAGTCTTCCAGAAATACTCGGTGGAGAGGGGGGAATTAAAACCAGCTACACTGTATCCAAGACCTAAACTTTTGGTCAAAACAAGCCAGTCTTTTCATGGAAATGGCTGTCCCTCTAGAGGGGGCGGCTTCTGCAGGGCAGCACCTGGAGCAGCGAGGGGAGGGACTGTCCGTTTAGTGAGCCCAGCAAGACACACTCCAGTGTCCCAGAGCTCCTGGGTCTGGCCCCCGGTGCAGCCCCAGGTAAAGTCCAGCATTTCCTGGTGAGCAAACAGCTCTCCAGGCAAAACGTCTACCTGGTATCTGGGGCCGTCTCCCACACAATGACCTGGTATCTGGGGCCTCCCATGCAATGACTGTGTCTTTGGCAGTGCCCTGTTTGGTGTCCTGGCAAAGTTGGGTGCAAAACAGTGTGACTCGGAGCCCCTGGAAAGCTAACTGTGCCCAGTAGCCTGGCCTCTGGAGATGGGGCGCACTCATTTAGCAAAAGGTCTCCCTTCTTCTCAGTGTCACCATGAGAAACCATCCATGTGGCTCTGCAAATGTGCCACCTCCCAGCTACTCTGTGAAGTGCATCAAAGGTGATCCAAACACACAGAGAATCCCCCAACCTCATTTGAGACAATTATTTTATATCTTTTCCCAGCCAACCTTTAAAAAAGAAGAATAGATTTTCAAAATAAGCCCTGGTGGCTCAGTTGGAGTGTCATCTTCATTTCCCCTGCCTAGCAAGGTACAGATGAGCATTTACTGTTGGCTCTGACCTATTCAGAGTGGTGAGGAAACATCTTTCAAGATCATGCAGGCTCTCTTTCTAGTCCTTGTCCTGGCCTACTCTGTCTGCCTCAGTTTCCTTCCTGGTTCACACAAGGCTGCCCTAGGGGCATGGAGCCTGCAGTTTTGGCAGTTGGAGGATACATCCCAGAAGGCCCCCTAACAAGGTGTCACCAGGACTCCCAGAGCACATTTTGACTCCTTCCCTCCCCACACCCAGGCCTGCCTTTTCAGCCCTTGAGGGTCATTCTCTCCACTCATGGCTGTCACATACTGTATTAGTTTTCTAGGGCTGCTGTAACAAAGTACCACAGACTGGGGGGCTTAAACAACAGTAATGTGTTGTCTTACAGCTCTGGAGGCCAGAAGTGTGAGATCAAGGTCGGCAGGGTCAGTTCCTTCTGAGGCTGTGAGGGAGAGTCCCGGGCCTCTGTCTTTGCTTCTGTGGTGTGCATTCCTTGGTCTATAGAAGCATCACCCCAATCTCTGCCACCAAGAATGCCACACGTGGCGTTCTCCCTGTATGCATGTCTGTGTCCAAATTTCCCCATTTATAAGGACACCAGTCATATTGGATTAGGGCCTCCTCTACTCCAGTATAACCTCTTCCTAACTAGTTATATCTGTAAAGACCCTGTTTCTAAATTAGGCCACACTCTAAGGTACTGGGGTTAGGACTTCAGCATATGAATTTGACAGGGGATACAGCCCAACCCATAATATATACCATAAGCAAACCCTTCAGCTGGTCTGTCTGTGGAGTGTTTCTTTTTCATTCCTCTGCTGTTTTTATCTTCTCTGTGTCTATCTGTACTTTCTGACCAGGATCTTTACAGCCATAATGCCCATGGTAGCAGCTGGACTGATAATAGATGACCCCACACTGCAGCCTGTCCGAAGACTTGTTTCCCTTGTAGGCACTGTGTGTTTTTGATTTTGTTTGAGCTGTGCCTTTGGAATGTCTGCTGCAGCTACTGCTGGGACTGGCCTGTCTTCTCTGGCCACTTTAGTTGCATGGCCATCACCTGCGTGTTCCCAGTTGGAGTGGGTGTTGAGTGTGATTTCAACATGCTGCCCACTGCACTCTATCTGCACATGTGAAGCCTCAGAATTCTCGGCTCTGTCACCTATAATTCTTTTTGTCTCTTTTGTTTCCGTTCTAAAACCACCTTGCCCATGATCCAGTAAAGAAGGTCCTTTAAATGACGGGTCAGTAATCAACGCCCACTGCGATCCCCGAGTGACACTAACACTGTGTTTTCCATCTTCACGCCATAGCTTTCTAAATTGCGTTGTTTTGCCAAGCCAATGTCACTCAGCCCTTTGATCTTGTTAAAAAAAGAAAAGCAGAGAAGGGGACCAATGTTTTGATCCTCTCCCTGTTGGAGGTGCTTGATGGCTTTCCTGCTTACTTGAGTCAGGTAGATGTGAAGCGTAACAGTGATGTGTTGCTGCTGTATTTTTGCCAGCTAATTGCCCCGATCACCCTATGGAAAGAGCTCACAGATGCCAGTATGAAAATTGTGCCTTCTTTCCCCACATACATGTTGTAGAGAAAAGAGACCTTCATTGCCAGGAGAATTTAGCCAGATAAACTTGGCTTCCTCTGGCTTTATGATGAAAGAACACTTTATTCCTGGTGGAAGGTGACTGTTGGATCCTAACCACAGAAGAGGAAAATCATTTTTACTCAGATGTGATTAAAACTAAACTCCACAGGCTACAACACTGAAAGAAGCTAATAGGTGAACACAGAGAACCAAAAAGTGTTTATCTGAAGCTTTGATTTCTTGGTGGCTTCATTCCTATTCTTGCCTCCCAGGAAACATTAACATAGTTATTATATTATGTCTCTTACCAAGTTCAGAAACCAAAATTCAAGAGTAAGAATTTGGTGACAATAGAAGCAATCTTATTAGAGCCTGGTAGCATCAAAGGACAGTTGGCAGCGTGGAAAGAGCTTTTGGGAGATCCTCAAGGTGGGCCAACTCAGGTTTACTGGCCAGGGCCCTAGTTCATTACCATGCTCTTGAAGCATACGGTTTTTTTGTTTGTATTTTGTTTGGGGTTTTTTTGTGGCTGGCCAGTACAGGGATCCAAACCCTTAACCTTTAGTGTTTTCCAAACTCGAACCAACTAAGCTAACCAGCCAGCCCCAGACCTTTTTTTTCTTCCACCTCCATCTTTATTTATTTAGTTAGTTATTTTGGCAGCTGGCCGGTATGGGGATGCGAACCCCCGACCTTGGTGTTACAACACTGTGTTCTAACCAGCTGAGCTAACCGGCCAGTCCCCCAGACCTTGTTTTAAATGGACCACTTTATAAGCTTTTTGTTTGTGTCGTTGCCTTTACCTTTTAGGCATCTGACGTTTTATGGTTCACTGTAATCAATATGCAAGTCACAGCTGCTTTAGAAAGACCTTTAGGGACTGGCTGGTTAGCTCACTCTGTTAGACCATGGTTCTGATCACACCAAGGTCAAGGGTTTGGATCCCCATACTGGCCAGCTATCAAAAAAAACCAAAAAACCTCTTGCCCTACATAAGCTGTTGCTCTGTAGCTAGCTACAGTGATAAATTCTAAAAGCTTTCACGATTAAATCCATCTTTGAAAGTCCAAATTGATGTTTCCCAGGGGCTGGCGGTTTGCTCACTTCGTTAGAGCACGGTGTTATAACACCAACGTCAAGGGTTTGGATCCCTGCCCCGACCAGCCACCAAAACAAAAAACAAATTGATGTTTTTCAAATTCAATTCACATACTATATTCACAGTGTTTATCTAATCAGAGAACTGTGTGTACTGTGATTTACTTAATATATTTTTTAGTTGTCTCATTTTTCTTAAATACCTACTTTAGCCTCATCCTCAGCAGCAGTATCCATGAAATCTGGGCTTTGATGATGTGCTACTTATAAAGTTTCCTGATTGACGTTAAATAAATACATAGCTATTTAAATGAGAAATATTCATCTGTTTACATCAGAATCATCTTACATTCCACACAGCTTTCAAGTATTCCTTTCTCGGCAACATTAGGATAATTAAAGAAACCCATGATCTGTTTCCAGTAGCTTTTTATATCCTCCACTAATGGGAAGGCTCCTCGGCACTGGCTGAGGCAGGAGAGGTACCTCACACATCACACGCATGCACGCCTTGCCCACACTGTGTGACCTCCAGGGTACTGCAACTAATGACACGCAGAATCCCCTGCTGCTTTCTTAGAATAACTTTGACCCGAACCCCCAACTTTCTCTTTTCTTTTTTTTCCACCCAACTTTTTCTTTCACACCTGGAATTATTCACTCCCTTCTACCTTTGCTGCTGTATGTCTCTAGCATTGCAAAACACACAAAGTGCACAGCCAAGGGTCTGCTCTCATTTCTCTCTTTTCTTTCCCTTCCAAAAGGTTTAGCTTCTTCTCCCGAGATAAAAAGCGCCTAGCCAACACCCAGAGAAACGTGCACGTCCATGAGTCCTTTGGCCAGTGGGCAAACACCCACCGCGACGATGGTTACACAGAGCAAGGACAAGAAGCCCTGCAGCACCTGTGACCTTGGCTGTCTCTGCCCTTGGCTATGAACCATCTACAGCCAGCACCTGCAACCAAACCTGCAGCCCAGGGGTCACTGCCTCATGCCTCTTGATGCAGATGCACCCTCAAAACGGCCCCCTCAAACAAACTGTCTGCTTTGAGGATGGACCTCGAAAAACTGAAGCCAAACTCTAAAGAAATGTATATTTATACCCAGGGCTATCACCGTTTATAATAGATAACTCTGATCCCTTAGGATATATATATTTAATAATCCCATGAACTGAGGCCAGACTTTTGCATTCAATAACACAAGCTTCTTGCCGCTATCATTGCCGTTTGACTTGCTTTGTATAAAATCCTATGTGTAGAGGTTTTATTACCATGTTTGTCATACTTCTGTGGGAGGCACGAAAGGGATAGCTTTTTATTAGTTACATCAATGAAATTATCATGGTGGTAGTATATTGTTTAGGATGCATTGACAGGACAGTCACAGGATGAGCTGGCCCAACTCAAACACAAAGCAACAGAAAATACAGATGACAGCCCTCCCGTGCAGGTTGGAGACAACTTTGTAAGAGCCCACGGTATCTCTATTGCCTTGTTCTTGATAATGCCTAGAGCATGTAGCAATGTTCAAGGCAGTGTGCCTTGGAATCTGCTGTGAGTTATGCAGTACTAACCAAACAAAGTGGCTAATGATGAGATGTTGCAACATTTCTGGTGTGCATTTCATTTTTTCCTGTCATCTTGTTTCCTTTTAGCATTCACCATGTCAAATACTTAGTGCCCTGCAAAGAAGACAAATGTCCCCAAGCAGATTGGGAATGGGGCATGAGAGCCTTGGGGATGTGGGATGGCGAGTGGGAGAGACTTAGCAGAGTGAGGGCGGTGGGTAGGAAGGTGTCTCAGGGACCACGTGTCTGGCTGAGTCACAGACCTGCAGCAGCAGACGGAGAGCCAGGTGCCCTGTCTGTAACTGGTGAGTTGGGGACTTGCCACACAACACTGCCTTTCTTTCTACCCCCGGAGCACCTAGGGAGCAGGGCTGGGTGCTCACAATTGAGAGAGTCAGCACTTTGTAACAGCACTCAAGTACAGCTGATGGATGGGGCCACATTCCACACATTCTACTAAGATTTGCTAAGAAACCATCAGGTGGATTTGCAGAATCTACAATAGACTCTTTCCAGAATGCTGGGAAAAATGATCAGACAGGATAATGTTGCTGCTTCAGTCAAACCTGCCTGGCCATTAGAATTATTAGAATTTATTCTTCAAGAGCATAGAAACCTACTGCACTTGACTAAAAAAAAAGAAGTATAGAAGCATGAGTACTGAGGAATTCCTCTCCCACCCCCAGCCACCCTCAGTTGCCCTTGCAACAGGTAACCAGTGTTCCCAGTTTCTTGGGTGTCTTTCCTGAAAGTTTATACATGCAATTATGTTAAAAACAACAACAAAAAAAACAGGCTAGCCAGTAGTGTCTGGAGACATTTTTGGTTGTCACAACTGGAGGGGGAGGGAGGTTACTGTTATCTACTGGGTAAAGACCAAGGCTGCTGCTAAACATCCTAAAATGCCTAGACACCTCCTACAACCAAGACTTACCCATCCTCAAATATCAACAGTGTTGAGGCTGAGGAACCCTGGTCTATCATATATTATTTATATAGATGTATAATTTATTAATGTTTATCTAGGCCACGCTGATAGACAGGTAGCTTCCTTCTAACCCTTTACTCAAAAAAAACAGTGCCGCACACCTCCGCACATGTGCAGAATAAACTAGAAACAGAATTGCTAGGTGAAAGGGTACCTACAAGAGGTCTTCAAAAAGTTCATGGAAATATTTGTATTATCTTTCAATTCCATTTTTCCACGAACTTTCTGAAGTACCCTCATATATGTCTTATGTTTTTTTTTTTTTTTTTTGTCTTTTGTCTTTTTCCGTGTCCGGCAACGGATTGCAACCCTCAGTGTTGCCCCCGTACCGGACTGGGGACCGGCAACGGGATTGCAACCCTCGGCGTTGCTCCCGCGCCTCGCTCAGCCAGTGAGCGGGAACCGGTCTGTATGTGGGATCCGAACCCTCGGGCGCCAGTGGCGTTCCCAAGCGGCGCACTATCCAGTGCGCCACCGGGCCAGCCCGTCTTCTTATGTTGATGGCTACTACTGAAGTCCCTGCCATTGGAGTTGTACCTTTTCTTTTTCTTTTTGGAGGCTGGCTGGTACAGGGATCCCAACCCTTGACTTTGGTGTTACCAACACTGTGCTCTAAGCAAGTAAGCTAACTGACCATCTCCCCTTTACCAGGGCCCATACAACACTAAGCCCAAATGTACAGGGATAGGGTCTGAGCATGCATTTTTTAAATCCATCCATGTTCCGATGCTCAGAGTTGACAACTATGTGAACACTGCAACTGGATATACTTTTTCTCCTGGTGGCATCTCTTAACACATGTTTTCCTGCTGGGCAGTCTTGTTTAGCTAAAGAACTGACCAACTCTGGCCCATGACACACTTCTGGTGCCATAGTAGGGAGCACTTGCATACTGGCCAGCTGCCAAAAAAAAAAAAAAAATAGGGAGCACTTTGTAAATGAAATGGGAATGAAATCAGAAAGGTGTTCTCCCTGCAAGCTTGATTTCTGAGACGGGAGATAGTAAAATTTTCAAAGGAAAGAGCATATTTCTCTAATCTTCTAATAGCAGCAGCAGCAGCAGCCACTTTAAGACACAGCAGGTTGGTCCAGTTTCCTATGTCACATTGTGAGATTCATACTGCTGCAAAAACCTAGTAATGAATGTGAGTTTTGGTACTAAATCATTTATTTTGCATGAAACATCTTGAATTTTAAAAACCTGAACTTTCAAAGATACAGGTATTGATAAAAATGTTAAATGTCACTTTGTTGAAAATCATGTGCAAGGTATGGAACTTATTCAAAGTCCTGAGTTAAGGTCAATAGATCCAGCTTTCTAGCAAACCAGAGGATGGATTGTTAAGAGGGAAAAGAAAAATCAATCCAGTCCGTCAGAATAAGCTACAATTCTTTCATTGATTTTGACCACTCCTTATTTTTCATTTTAATTTCATCCCCTCTTCTGTTGAGCTTTATCTTTTCAAAGGGCTGGGAGACTACCATAGATCACAGCCCTGCAACTTTGGTTTTTAATTTTAAATGTCAGCCAGAAAAAGAAAAAGAAAAAAAAAAAGCGTTTTGTGCAAGAGTGGAGTTACATTTGTTCAAAAGTAGCTGGTTGCTGACCCAGATGTTCAGACTGGCTTCTAGTATTAAGTCTCTGAACATTCCCCTTGGATTTGCTTTTCTATCCAATTTTTATTTCAAATCACTAACCCCTTGGGTTATAGATATGAAGATGGAAAAGACAAGTTATTCTGACCAGATTAGGGTTCCCAGGAGTCACACATTAGTGAGAATAATTTTAGATCATCACGTCTGTTTGCCATGCACTCAAAACAATCATTTCAACTAGATGGGAGAAAATCAAAACAAATTCTCCATTGCCAAATTAAATAAGAATCATGGCTCCTTACGAATAATCTGTACAGATGCCAATAACTACAAAACTGTTTCTCAATCCTACTAAATAACATATCCTTAAAATGTAAACTAAAAAATAAGCAAAAAAAAAAAATGTGTTTAGAACTATTTGATGAAGATGATCATTCATAACATCAGCTTGAACCTAGGCTCCAGAATGGAAAGAAAGCGATTCCAGACCCCATTATCATCAGTAAGTTTTATTCAACCATTCGTTAGTCTTACACTGAGTATAAAGACAATTACGCTATGCTTTCACTTAAAGCTGAATCTGTATTTGAGGGTCTGTAGTTGTTGGGCCTCACTTGCTTCTATCCCTCTTCTCCCTCCCCTTGATCCTGTCATCCCTGAAGTCCCTCTCTCTTTCCCAGTCATTTTCGGGCCACACCCTGGTTGGCTCTCTTTCTTGCCATCTCTTCTCCCGGCCGTGATCTCGATCCCTTGTTCTAGAGTCCCAATGCCTTTCTCGGGATCGAGATCGCTCCCTCCTTTCCCTTTTCCCCTCTCTATAGACATCATTTTTAACAACTGGCAGATTAATAGGTTTTCGAAAAGGCCGATCGCGTCCCCCAAATCTCAGCTGCCCAGATTCCTTTTTCCCCCCCAGACCACCTCCAAGTCGTCGAGGGATCCACCCTTTGAGAGTCCTTTCCAGTTCGTAGTCCACAAATACCTCATGTTGGTCAATAACGAGGCCATCTGCATCTCGGTAGGCTTTGATCAGAGCACGCTCTTCTTTGTACTCTATGAAGGCGTAGCCTTTTGAAAAGCCCGTGACCAAGTCCCTCACCAGGCGAAGCCGCCGGATGTCACCATAGCGGGAAAACACTTCCTTTAATTTGTCCTCTTTGGTCTGCAAGTTTAGTCTTGCCACAAACAGGGTGAGGAGGGGGTCTCCTGTGACACCTTTGTTGGGGATGTATCGTGCCAGCATTGCCCTCCAGACTGCCCGATCGTGTGGCTCTTCATCAGTGCCATCGATGCTGCCAGCTTTGAGCGGGTCATACTCCTTGGCGATGGGCATCCAATCATTCATGTTCTAAGAATGATAACAGCAAGTGTGTATGTAAAATCGGCTCTGAGCTGCCCATTTAAACCTTAGGAAAACCCCATGAAATGGACGCTATTATTCCCTTTTTTTTTTTTCTTTTTTTAATGACCGGTAAGGGGATCTTAACCCTTGACTTGGTGTTGTCAGCACCACGCTCTCCCAAGTGAGCTAACCGGCCATCCCTACTTGGGATCTGAATCCGTGGCCTTGGTGTTATCAGCACCACACTCTCCCAAGTGAGCCACGGGCTGGCCCTTATTCCCCCTTCTTGAAGACAGGAAAGGACATGGACACTCACAGAGGCGAAGGCCTCCCAGCTTGTAAGCGGGGGAGACAGTATCAAAGCCAGGCAGGCTCCAGAGAGGCCCTTCCCCACTCCTCCCAGCTCCCTCTCAGGAAGCAGAGGGCAGCGTGCTTGCGTTTCACCCACAGGTGTATCATCTGGATTAGCAACTACATTATAACATGGCAACATGGATTGACATCCAGGCTCACCTTTCAGAGACTTTAAAATGGTCCTAGGAATGGTAGCCTAGGAACTGCTGTGGAAAACAGCATTTAAAAAACTCTTTAGGGGCCGGCGAAAGAATATTTGAAAGAAATAATGTCCCAAACCTTCCAAATTTGATGAAAAACATTCATCTACATACCCAAAGACATCAACAAACCCCAAGTAGAGTACACTCAAAAAGATCCACACCTAGACACATTACATAATCAAACTGGTGAGAGGCAAAGACAAAGAGAGTATCTTCAAAGCAGCAAGAGAGAAGTGACTCTTCATGTATGAAGGATCATTAATAAGATAAACAGCTGACTTTTCATCAGAAACCCTGAAGGCCAGAAGACAGTGGAATGGTACAGTGGAATGGTATATTCAAAGTGCTAGAAAGACTGCCAGCCAAGAATTCTATATCCAGCAAAACTATCCTTTAAAAATGAAGGAGGGCCAAGTCCGTGGCGCACTTGGGAGAGTGCGGTGCTGGGAGCGCAGCAGCGCTCCCGCCGCGGGTTCGGATCCTATATAGGGATGGCCGGTGCACTCACTGGCTGAGCGCGTTGTGGGTGACACCACGCCAAGGCTTGCAATCCCCTTACCGGTCACAAAAAGGACAAAAAAAAAAAACTCTTTACTGGGGCTGGCTGGTTGCTCCGTTGGTTCAAGCACAGCCTTGTAACAACAAGGTCAAGGGTTCCAATCCCTGTACCAACCAGCCACCAAAAACATAAATAAATAAATAAAAACTCATTACTACTAAGAATTTCAAATATATACCAACGTGGAGAATATATAATGCTCCATGAATTCCTTACCTGGCTCCAGCTAGAACCAGCACACAAGTGGCCAGAATAATCCACCGATGGATTATTCTGAAACAAATTCTAGATATTACATCACTTATCTGTAAATTTTCCTGCATACATCACTAAAAGATAAGGACTTATAAAAAAAACAAAACTACAAGGGAAAATGGTAATTTGAATATAGCATTTTGCAGTAAATAGATAGCAAAGCTAAGACCACAGTGACCCAGCAGCAGGTTCTTTAGTTCAAAAGGAATATGGGATTTCTTCTCAATTCTTTTTTTTTTTTTTTTAAAGATGACCGGTAAGGGGATCTTTACCCTTGACTTGGTGTTGTCAGCACCACGCTCAGCCAGTGAGCAAACTGGCCATCCATATATGGGATCCGAACCCGTGGCCTTGGTGTTATCAGCACCACACTCTCCCAAGTGAGCCACGGGCCGGCCCTTCTTCTCAACTCTTTAGGTGATAATCCATTTATACCTTGGAGCATGGGAATTTACCGCAATGGTAATTTTCACCCAGCAAGCACACTGCAGTTGTCATTCCTTCTGATACATGATAATTAATTGATGTGAACCTTTGCTGGAATAGTAAGGTGAGTGCCAACATTTCAGACTCGACTAATGATTATGTGACCAACTCTGTAAGACTTTGGAGACAATGCTGAAATATGTTACTTAAAAACCAGGGCTCTGTGAAATATGTATGGTAATTCTCATTTTCAACAGCATCTTTCCATAACATTTATCAAAATGGCACCTATAACTTTTCCTCTCTTACTCAAATTTTCCTCAAGGATCTTTTTGCTTTTGTTCTTCAGTTGATGAGTTATGATGGGGGAGTGATTACTTATGGGATGCACTGTAGATTTTTTTCCCCCAGTAAAAAAGCCAAACACCTACAGAATAAAAGTCAAAGTCAAGGGCACTGCACTCAAGAACTCTGACGCTCACACGTAGCCTTTCACCATATCCCATCACAAAACCAATTCGTAAACTACCCAGGATTGCTCCTTGAATATGCCCCAACTCCCGAGTCCCATGTCTTTCCCAGTGCAACTTCCTCTGCTGGAAATATTCTCTTCCTTTCCACCTCCCACATCTCCACTTGTGGAAATTCTACTGGTCCTTCGAAGTCCAGCTTCAAAGCCCTCCCCCATGAAGCATATTCATCTCTCCCACAGCTCATTGTACCTCTTCTGTAATACTGATCATGTTTTGCCCAATGCACAGTAAACACTCTTCAGTCTGGTGTCTCCAGATCCTAGGGCACTTCCTGATAAATGCTGGGGAACTGAACCAACTCCAGTCAAAATTCACAGAACTTGTTTCTGTCCAAATCAGACAACAAGGACTCCTTCGTTGAGAACTGAGAGGCAGAACAACATTACACTGTCTACCACCAAATTGTAAAAGGAGGGCAATGTATGCCTGTCATCATTAACAAACAACTTTGGGGCTGGCCCGGTGGTGCACTCGGTAGAGTGCGGTGCCTGGGAGTGCGGCGGCGCTCCCGCCGAGGGTTTGGATCCCATATACAGACCAGTCCGCTCACTGGTTGAGCGCGGTGCAGGCGCGACACCAAGGGTTGCGATCCCGTTGCCGGTCGCGGTACAGGCGCGACACTGAGGGTTCTGATCCCGTTACCGGTCACGAAAAAAGACAAAAAAAAAAAAACTTTGGAGAAGATGCCTCTCTGGTGTCTTTTTTTTTTTTAAAATCTCTGGTATCCTTATCAGCAAAAAGATGATAAACCGCTGAAGCAACAGAAGGAACACCGGACAAAAGTGAGACAATTTCAGTCCTGGTCTGGGCTCTGGCTCTAACTCACTTTGTGTCTTTTCTCTCTCATAGCTGAATTTCTCCACGTGAAAAAAAGGAAGAGATAGCATTATGTTATTTCAGTCTCTCCCTGCTCTGGTATTCTCTATCGTGATCCCATTCTACTGGGCCTAAAATTCTTGGCATCTAATCTTACTTACACCTCCGTCACTGTGCTAAGCTCTTAACTCCTCTCACCTCTCAACAATACCTGGATGTAGGTACTACTGTTGTTGCCATGTCAGGAAGGTCAGACATAAAAAGGTTATCTTTTGCCCCAAATCACAAAGCTAAGAAGTAGCCCAGTAGGGGAGTTAGTACCACGGGCTGTGTCAACTACAGGGCTTGAGTTCTTAATCATTTCCTCAGATGCCTTTCATAAAATACAAGGCTTTGGAAAGAGGGATGAGAAAAAAACACCAGGATTCTAGGTTTGAGGCTGAGACCAGACCCCACCCCTGTGAGAATCCCTTCCTGTTCAACAGAAAAAAGTCAGAGATTCTCCAAATAAAACTGACATTACTGTACATAGTCAAAGGTCCTGTTCCAAGCTTTAACACTTCTTCAAATTAAAATCGAAGAGAATTACAAAGGGATAAGCATGCATTTTGTCATCGCTCATCTGCATGCTTCTATCAGTGCTAACTGCAGAGAGAACAGCAGGCTTCACCCTCATTAATCCTCTAGGTGTATATATTTCTTCCGTTGCAGCATTATGTTGAGATTTACCACAACGATCTCTTCGGATTTTTACATTCTCATTTTTTCATAAACGGGGGATGAGATTTAAGTAATGGTGGGGATGGAGGTGAGTGCATTAAAGACAAAAGTGTGGGAAAGTGAAAAAGAGCACAGGATTGGAACTCAGACACCCAGATTTAAGACCTAGTCCTATGTTGTCATTTAAATTTTAACTTGGGGATTCTTATCTGTAAAATGTAGCTAACTGCCATTTCACTAGGTTTTTGTGAAGATTAGATAACGTGGTGTCTAAGAAACTGCTTCATAATTATAAGTTGTTACACAAATAAAGCTTTTATTTATTTATTTTTTTAAGTCTCTCCTTACTGGGTCTTTGGAACTAAAGCTTCCTGAGCTTCCCACCCAAGAGCGAAACAGAACTGAAGGCGGGACCCGCAGAGCCCACCGGGCATGCGCAGTGGCGCCGTGAAGGCAAAGGCGTAATTCTCGGTGGAAAAGCCTATGCTGTACTCCCCAAAGCCCTCCCAATCCGGCCAGCCCTCGAGGCTGGCTCCCCCAAACCCCTCACCTGCTGCGTGGACACACAGAGGGAGGAGTCGTCTTTCCAACCCAGCTCTGGTCCCTGGCTCCCGCAGCACTACACCAAAAAGTCTCCCCTTTTGCCAGGCTTTAACATGGCGGCCCGCACAAGAGCGGACACGCGTCGAGGCCGCTTCCCCTCTTCCTCCCCCACGGCGTAGGCACTACTCCCTCCGAGCCGCTTCCACTCACCTCAAGAAAGTTCGGGCTCCCTTTCCCACGGAGACTGGCAGCCGGTTCCAAGCGACCGAAGCTCGCTCGCGCCGGCCTCGACCGGACCTTTACATCGGAAACAGCAGATTCGCCACAGACGCAGGTTTCCCTTTTGCTTTAAGCAATTTAATTACATGCGTTGATCATAGAGGACGTACCCCTTCCGAGAAAAATGGGCTTTCATTTTTTTCTTTTCTTTTCTTTCTTTTTTTCTTTTTTTTTTTTTTTTTTATAAAAGATGACCGGTAAGGGGATCTTAACCCTTGACTCGGTGTTGTCAACACCACACTCTCCCAACTGAGCCAAGGGCCAGCCCATTTTTTCTCATTTTTTACACGAAGACAGAAATTGCTAAATTGAACAAGTGAGTTTAAAGACTACCCAATGTGCACTTAGTTCTCTGGGAGCAGCTTAGACTCAGAATCTAATTATATGATTTCTTCCTCGGAAAATGAGTATGTGGATTCACATGAAATTTCGTACATAATCCCAGAGTTTTCCTAACCCCTAGACTTAATAAATTTGTTTTCATTCAAGCAAAACATTTTTTTCAAAGTGGCCTGTGAGCCATTATCCTTAGAATCTTGTAGGAGCTTGTTAAATGTCATTCCCTGGGCCCAGCCGCTAATCTATGAACTCGAAATCTCTGGAAATTTGAATTTTTTTGCAAGTGCCGAAGTGATTCTTCAAGCGTACTGGAAGACCCACGCCACTAGAATCACGGTTAAAAAGGCCACATCTATAACAGGGAGAGAGGGAGAGCAGAGAACTGTGTGATACATAAATTTTGTAGAATGGAGAGATCTATACATTCTGGTTATGTTTCGTTTTTTTTTTTTTCCTTTTTGTCTTTTTTCGTGTCCGGCAACAGATCGCAACCCTCAGTGTTGTGCCCGTACCGGACCGGGACCGGCAACGGAATCGCAACCCTCGGTGTTGCCCCCACACCTCGCTCAGCCAGTGAGCGGGAACCGGTCTGTATGTGGGATCCGAACCCTCTGCGGGAGCACCACCGCACTCTCAAGCAGCGCACTGTAGCAGTGCGCCACCGTGCCGGCCCTATGTTTCGTTTTTGATAGGTCAACGTATTCGATTAGATTAGGACTTGATTGTGTTACAACTTAAAATTCGTTGATACAGCCCTGCTTTCTTAAATTTGCTGATGTGTGTTGTAAAATTCCTCAGCCACCTATTTTCTGATTAATCCATTACCAGTGTGTGATTTCTGCAGGTGACTGAGTTCATTTTGATTATAATCTTATTTTTAGAAGGTAATCTTATTTTTAGGGCCCACCCGTGGCTCACTCGGAGAGTGTGGTGCTGATGGCACCAAGGCCACAGGTTTGGATCCCCTATATAGGGATGGCTGGTTGGCTCACTGGGTGAGCGTGGTGCTGACAACACCAAGTCAAGGGTAAAGATCCTCTTACCGGTCATCTTTAAACAAAAACAAAAACAAAATTAAATATTCAAAATATATGCGTGTTTTGAAATAAAAAAATAAATTACTGCTACCCTCAACGATGAGGTTGAATCTCTCCCAGATACGATGAGCAAAGAAGCTTGACTCAAAAGAGTTTACTGTGTTTCCATTTATATGAAGTGCAAGAATAGGCAAAACTAATCTCTTGTGATAAAGGTCAGAATAGGGGTGTGTTGATCCATTTCTGTGGCTTATAACAGAATACCTGAAACTGGGTAATTTAAAAAGAAATAACATTTATTTCTTACAGTTTCAGAGGCTGGGATGTTCAAAGTCCAGAGAACACATCAGGTGAGGGCTTTATTTTATTTTATTTATTTATTTTTTGCTGGTCTCTCTCTACAGCAACACAGGGTATCACATGGTGAGAATGGGCTGAGCAAGGGAGAGCTAAGCTTCTCACTCCCTCTCCTTGTAAAGCCATCAGAATCACACATATGACCACCCATTAAACTATCAGTGGATTAATCCATTCACACATTACTCACAATCTGGTCACCTCTTAAAAGGCCCCTTTCAATTATCATAATAGGATTTCCTACCCTCTTAACACTGTCACAATGGAGATTAAATTTCCAATACATGAACTTTTGGGGGATATACTTAACACACAGCAAGGGGTGTCTCTCAGGAGGAAGAAATTAATTAGGAAAGGGCATTGGGAGCTTTCTGGGGTACTGGAAATGTTTTATTTCTTGATCTTGACAGTGGTTACATAGTTACATATTTATAGGAAAATCATCAAGTTTACACTTAAGATTTGTGCACTTTAAAGTATAAAGATGAATGTTACAATACCAAGGTCAAGGGTTCTGTTCCCTGTACCAGCCAGCTGCCGAAAAAAAGTGGGCTGGGTAGCTCAGTTGGTTAGAGCACCACCTTGTAACACCAAGGTCAAGGGTTCGGATCCCCATACTAGCCCCTGCCAAAACCAAAACAAAACAAAAAGTATAAAGATGTTATACCTCAATAAAAGATGTAAATATATGTGTGTGCAAGAGTATCTGCATACATGGATGTCAGGAACACACTGCTGGAATACAATATGATAGACTTAGTCACACGTGGCTGTATAAATTTCAACTTTAATTAAATAAAATTAAAAACTCAGTTTCTCAGTTGCACCAGCCACATTTCCAGTGCTCAATAGCCCCATGAGGCTAGTGGCTACCACAGTGGACAGTGTAGATACAGAACATTTCCATTGCTGTAGAATTCTGTCAGACATCACTGGTGTAGGACAGTGCTGTTCCACAGAAGTGGAGCATGAACCACGTGTGTCATTTTCAATTTTATAGTAGCCTCATTAAAAAAGTAAAAATTAGCAGATAAAGCTAATTTCAACAGTATATTTTATTTAATTCAATATATCCAAAACATCTTCTCAATGTGTAATCAGTAGAAACACTATTAATGAGATAGTTTACATTCTCTTTTTGGCACTAAGTCAGAAATCTGATATGAGGGCCGGCCCAGCCCATGGCTCACTTGGGAGAGTGTGGTGCTGATAACACCAAGGGATGGCTGGTTGGCTCACTTGGGAGAGTGTGGTGCTGACAACACCAAGTCAAGGGTTAGGATCCCCTTACTGATCATCTTTAAAAAAAAAAAGAAAGAAGGAAAGAAAGAAATCTGATATGTATTTTATACTTACAGCTTATTTCAATTAAGACTAGCTACGGGCCGGCCCGTGGCTCACTCAGGAGAGTGTGGTGCTGATAACACCAAGGCCCCGGGTTAGGATCCCATATAGGGATGGCCAGTTTGCTCACTGGCTGAGCGTGGTGCTGACAACACCAAGTCAAGGGTTAAGATCCCCTTACCGGTCATCTTTAAAAAAAAAAAAAGAGACTAGCTACATTTCAAAGCGTGGTAGCAATATGCTAAATGGAAGTCAGCTTTTATTCAGGAATACCGGTGACCTGAGGAGAGATGTGAGGCTAACCTGTTACACAGCATACTCAGCTCCTGGCTGAGGCTCCCCAAAATTGATATAGAACACACAGGTCTGGCTGCCTGCCTCCAGACAAAAGCAAACCAATCAAAAGTCAAATGTTGGTGGGGGCCGGCCCGGTGGCGCACTGCTACGTGGCGGCGCTCCCGCGGAGGGTTCGGATCCCACATACAGACCTGCCGCTCACTGGCTGAGCGAGGTGCGGGCGCAACACCGAGGGTTGCGATCCGTTGCCGGTCACAAAAAAAGACAAAAAGGAAAAAAAAAAAAAAAGTCAAATGTTGGTGAAGATGGAAGTCAGCTTTTATTCAGGAATACCAGTGACCTGAGGAGAGATGTGAGGCTAACCCATCTCTCCAGGAAATCCGAAGGACAATGGGCAAGCTAAAGCCATCTCAAAGACTCGGGTTTCCTGAGGGGGTTTTATTTTATTTATTTATTTATTTTAAAAGATGACCGGTAAGGGGATCTTAACCCTTGACTTGGTGTTGTCAGCACCACGCTCAGCCAGTGAGCAAACTGGCCATCCATATATGGGATCCGAACCCGTGGCCTTGGTGTTATCAGCACCACATTCTCCCGAGTGAGTGAGCCATGGGCCGGCCCTCCTGAGGTGTTTTTAAAGAGGAGGATGAGGGAATGGAAAGTGAGAAATGAAAAGTAGGAGGGAAGGAGACATAAGCAGCAAGGAGTCCATGTCTGTGAGTTAGATACAACGTCTCTCCAAGGCCTCTTCTGGTTTCTGTTCTCATCTTTGTTGTTATGTCAGGACCCTGCAAGATTTTGAATTGCTGCAGACTAGAATCAACTCTTCTGCAGTCTTTTGTGTAGTTTTGCTTCGCAGAGCTCTGGTTGACTTGGCTGGTGCCCACGGTCAGGTTCCAGTCATTTGGCCTTATCACTTCTCAAAACTCTACAAGTCTTAAAGAAAGAACCGTTAGCTTTGCAAAGTCCTAATTAGCTTCTCAGCCTTTTCTCCTATTTAGCAAGCAAGATAAGAAAGTCAGGGGATGGGAAGAAAGAGTGGAGAGAAAAAAAAAACTGTCCTTTTAAAAATCCCACCCCCCACCCCTTGCAGCCCAGGTGGTTTTAGGTCTCAACATGGCTTCAATCCTGTTCGTTCCAACAAAGCCATCTCTCCAGTAAACCTGAAGGAGAATGGCCAGACTAAAGCCATCTCAAAGACACAGATTTACTGAGGGGTTTTTTTCAGAAGGGGTTGAGGGAATGGAACGTGGAAAATGAAAAGCAGGAGGGAGGGGGACATGAGCCCCCTGTGGGGGCTGTATGCAAGGAGCCAGGTGCAAGGACTCGCCAAGGCTCCATCTGGCTTCTGCTCCCGTCCTTGCTGTTGTCTCATGGTCCTGCTGGAGGGGTGGAATCAGCATAGCTTTATTGATGACTTCCTTGGGTTCCCAGGGTCTGGATAGTAAGGGCAAGTTTGCCAGTTTGCAGCTTCAGTCTGACTGGAAAGCAACTCTTTACATTTGTGTAAATAATGTCATCTTGCCTCATGACCAAGGTTCAAAATATCAAATAACCCATGGGAAAAGAGAGAACTCAGAGAAAAGCTTGCCTAGAAAAAAACTGTGTCCTTTTAAAATCTTTTATTTATTTATTTTTTTAAGAGATGACCGGTAAGGGGATCTT